AGCACCTAAAAAGCAAATTATTAACTGATGTGGATAGAGAGATAGTACAGTGGGTAGGGTGCTTGCCTTGCATTCAGGAAACCTGGGTTTGATCTCCGGTATCCCATAATGGCACCCCAGCATCATCAGGAGAGATCACTGAGTGTAGAGAGACAGGAGTAAGTCTTGAGCATCATCCAGTGAGGGCCCCCTAAAAGTCAGAGTTTTAAAGATCCTATCTGCTTTGAGAATAGTGATGAAATTTTCCATTGATAAGACTTTGGAGCAATTTGATCACTTAATCACTTAATCACTTAACTTCCCGTTAGTCGTCAATTTGCTCGAGCGGGCGCCAGTAACGTCTCCATTTGTCCCTGTCGCGTGCTAGTGTAGCCCAATGGCATCTCTTCGCTCCGGGAACATGGAGGGCCTCAAACCGATCGTTCATGATCTTGACAAAGAAGTCTGACCATCTGGTAGGTGGGCGGCCACGCGGTCTCTTGACATCCCGTGGAATCCAATCAGTAACAGCTCTAGTCCAACGGTCGTCTTTAAATCTCATTACGTGACCAGCCCATCTGATTTTCGACACCTTGGCAAATGAGACAGCGTCCCTGATCCTTGATCGTCGACGGATGTCAGAACTCCGGATTCGCTCTCTCATTTGAGTGAAACGTGATATTCCAAGCATAGCTCTTTCTATTCTTCTTTGGGAGACCTGAATGGCGTTCTCATCTTGTTTGCGTAGGGCCCAGGTCTCTGAGGCATATGTTAATGCAGGAAGAACAGTGGAATCAAAGAGATGTGCCTGGAGCCGGAGGTTCTTCGTCCTCTTAGCTATTTCTTCGACGTTCTTGAAGGTGTTCCAAGCCGCTCTCTTCCTCCTGCGCAGCTCGGGTGCCAGGTCATTTGTCATGTTGACCTCTCGACCTAGGTACACATAACTGTTGCATTCGGAGATGGTCGTTCCATTGAGAGCGAATGGGGCGTCAGGAACAAGGCTGTTTCTCATAAACATTGTCTTCGTAAGATTCAGCTGTAGTCCTACCTTTCCACACTCACGGTCAAAGTCGGCCAGCATTTGTGCCGCTTGGCTGATGTTTGGTGTTATTAAAACAATGTCATCAGCAAAGCGGAGGTGGTGTAGTTGCCGACCATCTATCTTCACTCCCATTCCTTCCCATTCCAGTCGTCGCATGATGTTCTCGAGGGTGGCACTGAAGAGTTTTGGTGAAATGGTATCACCCTGCCGCACCCCTCTCTTGACATCAACGATCACTTCTTTGTAGAATGGTGAGATCCTGGTAGTGAATCTGCAATACAGCTCACGGAGGATCCTGATGTATTGGGCTTGAATGCCCTGATTGGCTAGGGCTTCAATGACCGCTTCCGTCTCAACAGAATCAAAGGACTTCTTTAAATCAATGAACGTTAAGCAGAGCGGCATCTTGAACTCCCGAGAAACCTCAATGAGATTGGTTATCGTGTGGATATGGTCGATGGTGCTGAATCCTTTGCGGAACCCGGCTTGCTCGCATGGTTGTCCTTCATCTAGTGTTCTGCCAATCCTATTCAGGATGACTCGAGTGAACAACTTGTAGATGACAGACAATAGGCAGATCGGGCGATAGTTGCCAATGTCATGGATGTCTCCCTTCTTGAACAGTAGTACAGTCCTGCTGATTTTCCATTGAGATGGAACCTTGCATTCAGACAGGTAGCGAGTGAAGAGCCGAGCCAGTGTATTGATGAGTACTGACGGCAGGTTCTTCAGGTGTTCAGGTCTGACCTTGTCTGGGCCGGGTGCTGTTTGCTTCTTTACTGACGAAATGGCGTGTCGGATTTCGGAAGGGAGAACGTTGGGAACGACATACCCATCCTGTGGAATTTGGTATGTCGGCAAGTGGACATGGCTATCGAAAAGATTTGAGAAGTCATGGATAATCTTCTCCATTGCCGTTCTGGAGGATGTGATGGATCCATCAGGACGTCGGAGGGCAGTCATCTTGCTCTTATAGTTGGCGAAGGACAGGCGGGCGTTACGAATACTTTTCCCGGCTTCTGCCGCATCTACCAGTACTTCTGCTCTTCTCTCTTTGAGGTCTTCCTTGATCGCATCTCTGCACTGCTTTGCAAGCTCGGACGTTAGCTTGCGGTTGCCTGAGGCATGCGCCAAACCACGCTGGCGAATTAGCTCAAGAGTCCGGAAAGCGTCCTGGAGTGTCGGAGCAATTTGATAAGACAATAAAGTGAAACTTCTTGTTCCAATTACTTCATCCTCATGGTCTAGCAATATTTCAATCTGCTTTCAATGATCAGGCCCACTCATCTCAGCCTTCTCCACCTGATTTTCTCAACAGTGAACTTTCCTTAAAAGTAGATTTGAAAGCTAAAGCCACTATGTTTGTGGTTGCTTCTGAGACAATAGGATATCAGCTTTCAACCTTTGGCATCATTGCATTTTCTTACTGTGATGTCTATACAAATCTTAAAATCTAAACCTTCTCTCTGATTCTATTCCCAACTACTACTGTACAATCAACCATAACCTCCTCTTTTAATCATTTTATTATCATTTCTTCTCTTACCCATGTTTAGACCTACTTTCTACCCAGTCACTGGAGAAGTTTAAGAAAATCTGTTTTTTTCCCAAGCTCAAAACCCTCTAGTATTTCGTGTCAGTCCTATCTGTTGGTTATTGTCTCAGGGGAACTGTATCTTTCACGGACTCACAGAATAGTCTTCTTTACTATCTGCATGTTGCCATCTGCTACTGGGAAGAAGACATCCCAACTCTCTGCCAATGTTAAGAGCAAAAGTAGTGTGGACAGCTTACTCCCAAACCCCAAAGTGACTGGAGATACTAACCAATAATGATATTCAAGTCCCTGTAAAGGAATTGAACTATCTCATGTACACACTAAATCTGTTTTCAGCATTATCTTCCAGAACTAAAAAGGAGAGATCCTGGCACCTTATCTTTGTTGACTAGCATTCAAAAGTTTTTTATTTTTCCCTTTCAGACTCTTTGCCCTAGGATAGAGGCACTATAGAATAAATTTCTTAAGAAAAATGCTTTTATTATCTCTCAACTTCAAGAAGATTGTTGAACAATTGAGTACAGTGCTAAATATTTCCTTTAGTGCATTACAATGAGATTCATTTGGAAGAGGAGAGGAATGAGCTTTAAGCTTCTCTTTTCGATGTCCTCTAGATAACTATAATTCTATCATTTCTAAGCACAGCTTTGGAAGCTCTTGGCATTTGGAATTCATACTCTTCTGTATAAACTTCACTGAATAAATAAATAATCCTGCAATTTACACATCTGCTGACTAGTGGCTATCAGGCTTAAACTAATTCTGCAGAAATTTGTCAAGAGTTTGGTAAGTGGCCTGTAGAATAAATCTGAGGGGTGGGGTCAGGGGCAAAAGAAAACACTTTTGAGAAGTATCCACTAATCTCTTCTAATTACTGATTTTCACCTTTATGGAAAGATCTTTGGGCTGGAGCAATAGCACAGCAGTAGATCATTTGCCTTGCATGCAGCCAGCCCAGGTTCGATTCCTCTGCCCTCTTGGAGAGCCCGGCAAGCTACTGAGAGTATCTCGCCCGCATGGCAAAGCCTTGTAAGCTGCTCATGATGTATTCGATATGCCAAACATAGTAACAACAAGTCTCACAATGGAGACGTTACTGGGCCCACTCGAGCAAATCGATGAACAACGGGAGGAGAGTGCTACAGTGCTAGTGGAAAGATCTTTATAGTAATTCCTATAGTGGCACACAGACAAACAAACTAACAAACAAAAAAATCTTAAAAACTTGAGTATGGAAAGATCCCATGCATTTGTTGAAAAACCTTCCCTGACAGGAATTACTCTGACATATCGGTGTCATTTTGCCCATTTTTACACAGTTTAGTCCAGTTTTATCCCTATCTCTGCTCTTTCTTCTCTTTTCCACTTACTAATTTAAAAACACCTGTGTATTTTCCTCCCCCGTGCTCCATATTACCTTTCACCTCCTCCCACTCTCAAGACTTCTCAGTGCTAAACTCCTCTAGCAGCTATGATCCAAAAATCCATAAGGTTTCCTGTTACCTTAATTTCTATCTTAGAGGGAGATTAGAGAATTCTGCCCTAATGACCTGAAGCTTTTCATAAAAACAGTAGTCTTCCTGGGCATCTCCCTAGCAGCATCAATTATTTTCTTTACCCATTTAGTATAGATATGAATTGCTTTCAGTTTCTCACTTTTTATTTTCAGAATCACATGCTGAATCAACACAAATCTGTATACTTGGTTCTAAAAGGTCAACTAATCATAGTTACACAACTTCTCCTAACATGTCTAGTTTCTGTTTCCTTGCCTGTAGAGTGAAGATACTAATACTCTCTATATCATTGCTTAGTCAAAATTAAGTCATTTACATGAGGATCTTGGACACTTATCAAATGTGAATGATTACAAGAGGATTATAATGATGACGATGATGATAATTTTGATGATATTAATGATACTTAGAGAAAAATCATGAAACCACAAGATTTAGAAAACACAAAATTTTGTTTATTAATGTTGAAGAATCATTATTGTAGCTTTATAACTACTAGTATAACATTAATCTTATATAGTTTGAAACATCACATTATAATAAAAGCACATTAAAATAACATAAATAAAATCTGATTATAACAATAAATATATTATAAATATAAAATAATGATTATAGAAATAAGGTTATCACAGTTTTATCTAAAATGGCAATTTAACTTCTTGTGGAAATAAATAATTTCTTAATAAAAATTTCTGTGTATAAAATTTCAACTACATTAAAATATTATCAATAAATATCACCTTTCTTCCCTTTAACTAAGCAAGAGTTTAATTAGAATCCACCTATGACTATGGAGTATGACTTCTCATTTTCTGTTGGAAAAATAAAAACCTTTGGTGATCTTCTTATATTTCTAAGAGGCAGAACACAGTTAGGTACCCATCTTCTTGCTTTACTCTAATTAAAAGCATTTAGTGACCAGAAGACCGTGAAGTGAGTTCAGTTCTCCAATTACTTTGATTTTTCCACTCTCTCCAAGCTGTGAAAATAATAAATTTGAGCATCTAAGTATTTACACCATGTAATTAAAGGGAATAAATTAAAGGGAGATCTCACTCTTAGGTTTCTAGGGGAGAAAAATTACATTTCAATGTTTTGTGGGGGGAAAAATATAATAACACCCTTTAGCAAGAACAAAATACAATGGAGTCAGGATGATAGTACAGCAGGTAGGGCACTTTCCTTGCATGCAGCCAATCTGGGTTTGATCCCCAGCATCCCACATGGTCCCCCTGAGACCCACCAGGAAAGACCCTTGAGCACAGTCAGGACTAAGCTCTGAGCACCACCAGGTGTGTCCCCAAAAGCAAATAAACAATAAAATGAAAAAATGTGATTTACTAAAACTTTAAAGTTATGACTATCCCAATCGAGAGAACACAAATTGGCAGCAATTTTGGGTGTGCTTCACACCCATAAAACTGTTTAAAATCCACTCTTTACCAAAAAAGGCAGATTGAAGTTGTTTTGAAGTCTAATTTTAAAGTACACAGTCATATCAATATATGTGTTCTCCAAAATAACCCAATTATAAGAAATTTAAGCAAAATATCACAATGTAGGGGGTAAATAAAGAAAATTTGTCTATCTTATTTACTACGAGAGTTGACACTAATTAACACTTATCGTAGTACCTTTTGAACGGTGTCCTTCAGTTCTTGCACATTTCTCTGGATATTGTAGTCATCTCTCTCAATATGCTGCAAAACAGAAACAGCAATCCATTTTGCAGATGAGCTAAAAGTCTAAAAGCTTCCAATTTCCTAACTTAGGTAAATTATAATTCACCTGGGATGAAAATTTTTACCAAGCTTCCCACAATGACCTAGATGTCACTAGTAACCTACATTTCCTGAGCTCTTAAATTCTTTTTGGATGAACAAATCCTTTCACTTCCTTTACATCAAAGTTAACCTCACTTCATCATTGGGAAATCTTTCTGAGGTTTACATGTTTGGAAAGTGTAGGTTGGCTTATGTGAGTGAGGTCAAGAATAAAACCCTAACTATATCTCTGCAAAAATGCATGCACAGAACAATAAATACATAGAAAACATCTGTGTGAACAGAAGGGCCTCTTCAGTAAATGCTAGGTTCCCTGCACTCTGCCTTCTCCACTTGAACTTCTCTCATTGTTTTAAATGTTCAGAGTCACAGAATTCACACACCTTTGTCACTTCCCATGATATCCAAAAAGGCAGCCGTTCTTTCTCGTCAACCATAGGATATTAAATCTTCTTATTTCCCTCTTTCTCTCTTTCACAGTCCCTTCCCCCATCAGTTCATTCTTGGTATATCCATTTCCCCTTCTGAACATTTTTTCCTTAAAATTCTTGACACTTCTCTCATTCTACCTTGCCTGACTTGCTTTCTCCCAGAAACAAACACTTAAGTGTTCTGTCCTTGTCTTTTAGACCCCATCAGTCACCAGCATAAACTCAAAATGTCTGTAATTCCAAATGATGCCTTGAAGACACCGCTTACTGTCAGCATAGGATGGGGCAATGATATCTAGGCTGAAAAGTGTTACAAATAGAAAGAGAAAAGCAAAGGGATGGGGTGAAGGAGAGGCTGATGCTGGGAGAACTTACACATTGGTTCAGCTTGTAACTGATCCTCATCAGATAGGAGAGCACTGTGTCCATATAAGGCTGGTATCTATTACAGTTGGGGACCAGCACTTCTTCAATGGTAAAGTTCAGGACCTGCTTCATCAGGTAACAGTAATCTGTCACCTGCAAGTGAAAGTGAAACAGCAGGAGTCACTCTAGAGGGTATTTCAAAGACCCAACTGTCAATACCACTGCTCTGAATAACCAAAGATGACACATCACCCAGCTCCTCACAACCAAGGCTTACATTCACTCCACGGAACAGCTGATAATACCCAAAGAGACGAACATCTGTGTTGTTATCTTCCAAACTGGCCTGAAAGAGAAAATGTTTTTAAAAGACTAAGTGCCTGCTCCTCAAGATGGCAGAAAAAAATGTATATTGTATTAGGGTAGAAATCTACCCCAAGTCCTCTCCCCTAGATTTACTCCATAAAATCTAAAGAAAGAACTCATACATGTGTATGAATTTCAAACAGTGCCCAGAGGAATAAATGGGGAGAAATGATCGTTTTTCATCAATATTAAGTGCCTCGTTTTTTGACTAAAACTCAGTGCATGAATCTTAAAAGTCAAAATGCAAGGTCTTGTCATAAAACCAGATCTTCAAAGAATCCAAGGAAAGGACATGGGAAACAATGGGAAGAAATGATGAGTTCCTAAAGATCTTAGAAGTACTCTGAATAAAACTTAAAGAACAATTTGTGTGGCACGTAGAGAAGAAATAAAAGAGAGAAGCTTAAGAGGAATACCTCCTCAGCCAGCCTGAAGGTGTAGTTGGTAACGGATGTCGGCGGTAAGTCAATGCTGTTCAGTCTGCATTGAGGACGGACGGGCACAGCAGTTCCTCCCTGCACCCACAGGGCGATGAGGAGGAGGCAGCTGGTGGTCAGAAGGTCCTTACAGAAAGAGTTCACAGATCTCTGCAGAGCAGCCATGGTAGACAACTCTAAACGGCGTAACTGGTGATGAGAAGAACCTAGTATCAAGGCAACAAGAGGAAAAAATTACACAAAAAATTTAGAATAAAGAATTGTTAAGCCAAAAATTCAGCTATATCAAGTTTGCTGAAATACTTACTGTCTCGGTGATTCTGTGTGTGATGGAAAGGTAGAAGCTGCTGCTTTTATAGCAGACTTTACTCCTTTCCAGGACATTGTTTAACCACATTATTAGTAATCACTACTAGTACTTTTCTGAAAACTCATCACCACACAGCCCACAAATCCCCATTCTCACCTGGGGGCACTTCCTTAAGCGTCATGTTAGGCTGAGGAAGTACACTTTTACAGTTAAATTCCAGAAATTTTCTAAATTCTACAAATTTTTGAAGGAAATGATTGATTTGTCTTGGTAGAATCAAGATTTGACATAATTTTTTTAAATTTATGAGCAAACATCTTGGTCACAGACTCATCTTCCTACTCTTCTCAAAGATGTTTATTGGAAGTTACCAGAAATAAAGGACTTGTGTCCTATAGTCTCATCTTTAAGTAATTAACTAAATAATAAGTAATTACAGGTTGAAGAACATTTCATTAAAAATATCTATGTCATATTTTTAGGAATGTGAGTCCTAAAGAAGTATACTTTTAAAATAAGTATAGATTAATCTAAGCATTGTTTTTCTTCCATTCTTGTATTTTTATCAAAATGAATGAAACTATTCTAATTCAAATGTATCTTAAACTGTTTTATTGAACACAATATCAATTTATGTTGGAAATATTAATGTTGAAAAATATTATCACTAGTTCATGAATATACAGTGTTTAATAGTACTTATAAAAATTGACTTATTGTTCTACACAAGTCTCAAATAACCTTTCTCAAAATACTATAACCATTTGTATTTTTATAGATGTCTGAAGAAGAGAATAAAGTGAATAAAGTGTCTTTATCACTTCATGTTAGTAAAGTGATAACATGTTAATTTGAAACAATTAAAAAAAGAATTGAATTTTTATGTTATTCGTCGATTGCCTCGAGCAGGCCCCAGTAACGTCTCCTTCGTCCTAGCCCTGAGATTTTAAAAAAAAGTGCCATATTAAAGGTTCTTTCAGAGTTAGGAGAATGAGACCCTTAATTGTTACTGGTATTTGGCATATTGGGTATGCCACGGGGAGTTTGCCAGACTCTGCCATGTGGGCTGGTTACATTCGGTAGCCTGCCAGTTTGTCCAAAGTAGGAATGAGATGATAAGCTTCCGGGAGCTGAGTATGATAATCTATGGATCCTGGACGTTGTTGAGGTTACACGGCAGTTGGTGGGTGTAACTAATTTTTATGACAACCCCAAAATTGAAATTTTTATGACAACCCAAAAATTGAAATTCAAAACCTTCCCAAGGGCTGGATGTAGGGAACATGTTTAACAAAATATATCTGGTCGGGGCGGGGGGGGGGGGGGTGCTGGAGTGATAGCACAGCAGCAGACCTGGGTTCGATTCCCAGCATCCTGTATGGTTGCCCAAGCACTGCTGGGGGTAATTCCTGAGTGCATGAGCCAAAAGTAACCCCTGTGTATCTCTGTGTGTGACCCAAAAAGCAAATATATAATATGTATATATACATATATAGTATATATATATATATATATATATATATATAGAGAGAGAGAGAGAGAGAGAGAGAGAGAGAGACTTTAGGGACTGAAGCCATAGCACAGCAGGTAGGATGTTTGCCTTGCATGTGGCTGACCCGAGTTTGATTCCTCCGTCCCTCTTGGAGAGCCCGGAAAGCTACCAAGAGTATCCTTCCCACATGGCAGAGCCTGGCAAGCTCCTTGTGGCATATTCCATAAGCCAAAAACAGTAACAAGTCTCACAATGGAGATGTTACTGGTGCCCACCGAGCAAATCGATGAACAACGGGAGGACAGTGACAGCGCTGCAGACATATATTGGAAGGAATGTGAATGTATAAGAAATTCTTTGATCAAATTTTTCTTCACATTGCTAGTTAACATCAGGAGTGACACAGATAGATGGTAAGGCAAGCATATGATTGTAGAACTGGGGCCAGAGAGATAGAACAGGTAAGTCGTTAGCCTTGCTCAGTGTCAACCTAAGTTTGATCCCCTGGGTGCTATATGGTTCCTCTGCCCACTGGAAGAGATCCCTGAGTGGAGAGCCAGGAATAAGCCCAGAGCACAGCCGGGTGTGCCCCATCCCCCCACCAAAATTTTTTTAAAAATCCAGGTAGTTGTAGAATATTGAGTATTTTGTGAGCCAGTGCAGACCAAGGTGAGGAGCTAGAGTGAAGAATTAAAACACCATGAGGACACCGGGTTTGGCGGGGGAGGCGGGGAGGTTTGAACAATCAGGGGGGAAATGCAAATGGACAACTTGGGGAGAGTAAATTTTAAAAAGTGCAAACATTTGCTCAGGGTTGCTAAGGAAAAGAAAATTAAACTCTTCTTTATCCATTTTTTAATATAGAACTCTAATATGATTGTATTAACTCAAAAGTCAACTATACTATCATATAAGTTTTTTAAATTGATTTGCCTGAAATCTGGCAAGCATTATAATGTTGTTCTCATGGAATAAAAAGTTTCTGCTTCTTTTAGAGGAATAGTCAGTGTCTTTATTATCTTTGTATATCTAACTCTTAGAAGAATCTAAGGACTCAATAAGCCATACTCAATGAACGGATAAAGAGATCTCAAGTAAGATCATTCGCCAAGTACCTTTGAAAGTACGCAAGGGCATAATTTTGGGACTGCCTTTATAGTACTTAAAAGTTGGGGTTTGACTCAGAACTGGCTTTCAACTTTGTTATTGTTCCATCATAGAAAAGAAACAACTTTCAGAAAACAAAAATGGAAAAGCAGAAAGTTTCAAATAAGTCTCTAATAGCAGTGATATATCTATTATTCATGGAATGACCCTGGCAGACAATCATAAATATATTATTCAGAGATCATAGGTATTGGTGAACTTGACTCAAAGGCATTAAAGTGAAAATCTAGGAGTATATGTGGATTTCTGGAGTCTCAAAACAGCTATTGAGAGATTGTAGCTCTTATTTGAAACTGCTTCTTTGTGGGCCAGGGACATAGTTCAGCAGCAGAGCACTCACCTTGCATATGTGAGTCCCTGGGTTTGATCTCTGGCGCTGCAATACAAAACAACAGAACTTCTGCTGTTGGGCTGGAGCCATGGTGTAGTGGGTAGGGCATTTGTCTTGCACACTGCAAACTTGGACTTGATCCCCAGCACCGCATATGATCCCCTTAGCCTGCCAGGAGTGATTTCTGAGCACGAGGCAGGAATAAATCCTGCACACTGCCTGTGTGGCCAAAAAAAAAAAAAAAAACCAAAAAAATCTGCTTCTGTTAAATAACAACTAGAGACTGATGTGTGCCAAATAACTTCAATCATACTAAAATCTACACTTCAGATACTTTCTTGTGAATTTCCAAGTGTATAGTTTTCCTTTATTATACTGTCTCTGTCTGCTATTGGTATCAGGGTGCTATTTGTCTCACAGAAATTGTTTGGGAAGGTTTCTCTTTTTTCAGATTTGTGAAAGAGCCTGAAAAAGATCGGCAGTAGGTCTTTTAAAGTTTGGAAGAACCCACTGGTAAACCTATCTTGATCTGGGTTTTGTCTTGAGGAAGAGACTTTTGATTACCGTTTTGATTTTCTAGATAGTAATTGATTTCTTCAAGTGTTCTGTATTTTCTTGGTTTAACCTTGGAAGGATATAGGAGCTCAAAATTTTTTCCCATTTCTTCCAGGTTTTCTCTCTCTCTGTGTGTGTGTGTGTGTGTGTGTGTGTGTGTGTGTGTGTGTCTGTGTGTGGCATAAATATTTTCAAAAGTAGCCCCTGATGATCCTTTGAATTTCTATGATACCATTTGTGACATTTCCCCTCTCATTTCCAAAAGGGGTTATTAGGATTCTCTTCCTTTCTTTCTTTGTGTGTCTTGCTGGTGGTTTGGCAGTCTTACTTATTTTTCAAAAAAAAAAAAAAACAGCTCTTGGTTTCATTAATCTTTTGGGTTGCTTTTTTTGGATTCAAAATTGTTGATTTCTGCTTCTAGCGTTATTATTTTCTTCTATCTGACTGCTTTGCACTCTTTTTGTTAGTCTTCTTCTAGTTTCTTAAGCTAATTTATATACGAGGACGCTTTTCACCATCCTGATGAACGCTTGCATTGCTGTATGATTTCCTCTCACTACCACTTTTGCTGGGTCTCACGAGTCCTGGTAACTACTATCTTCATTCTCATTTGTTTAAATATTATTTTTCAATGTAACTTTAAGGATACCAGGAATAGCCGAACTGTAGAGCCCTAGCTTTGCAAGTATGAGACCACTAGTTCCACCTCCTGCATCATCCTACCTGCCAAGTGTGATCTCAGCACCTTGACTGTTTGGAATCCTCAGTGACAAAGTGTGTGATCTCTGGCACACCACAATGAATTTTTTGTTACCCCCATAATCACCAAAATAACAGCAACAACAACAAAGGAAATGGGAGGGCAGAAATAAAATTCAGTAGAATTTCTAAAATAAAATAAAACTAAAAATGCGCATTCAAGGTCCATAGAAATAGTACTGGAATTAGAGCACTTGCCTTGCAAGCAGCCAAACTTGATTTAATTCCACATATGTAGTGTCATAGTTAACATTGTAATTGTGCTACAGTATCCTTAGGAATAGTTCAAAGTGAGCTTACTTTTGAAAGAAAATATTAAATGTGCCAGTATATTGATGAAAACTAAAATTTAAATTTTACTCATATTAATTTGTTAATGTGTTTTTAGAGAAATAAGAAATTTCTCTAAATTGAAATTAGAAACCTCAAAATAAGTAGTTCAGGAATTAAACATAAGATACAGGTGGAAATGGAGCTTGGGATACTTAACAGGTCAGCAAGGAAGGAGAAACAATAAGTTAATAAAGTTAATAAAGCCATATACCAAAGTG